GAGTTATTTTTAGATTGATGGATAAATCTGATTCGATTTGGTTCCTTTGTGTGAGAATGGGGGCAGCGGGAGATCGAGGAGAGTTGAGGAAATAGATTTGCTGGGCTTTGAGGAAATGAATATGTCGGGAAAGGGAGGATTCGGGGTTGATAGGTGCGGACTGGAGTTTGGGGTCAAGAAATCCGAGGGGGTGGGGGATGGGTCTGTGGGTGAAAAATTAGAAGGGGAGGAGGGATGGGTTTCGGGGTGGAGGGTGGCTTGGCGGGTGGTGGTCATAGGGCAAGGATCAAAATTAAAAGTGTGTTTTGGGGTTTGATTGGATTGGAATTGGAATTCGAAGTGTGCCTTTGTTTTTCTGGTTTTTTGGGTGAGGGAATAATGGTGGGCTCGAAATTGTGGGTGCTGGAGAGAGAGAGGGAGAGAGTTGGGTTTGTGGAAGTCAGGTTTGTGGGTGATGGGAGAGGTGGCTTAGTGGAAGTCGGGTTTGTGGGGAGGGTGGAGGCTGGAGGCTGGAGGCTGTGAGGGAGAGGTGGTGCAGGTGGTGGTAATGGGGGAGAAAGAAACCTGGGAGAGGAAGGAGGCGCTGGTTTGAGTCAGAGAGATAGAGAGAGAGAGAGAGAGAGAAATTTTTTGATTTTTTGATTTTTGATTTTTTTTTATTTTTAATATTTTATTAATATTTTAATCAATTTAAAATTTAAAAAATTAAAAAATGTGGGACCCACAATGCCACGTAGGCAATTAACAAAGAGATCTAACAGAAACCCTAACGGCGGAACCACATTGCAAAAAATTTACAAACTAAGGGTATGCGATTGTAAAAATTGAAAAAAACGGGAACTAACATGCCTTAAGGGTGTAAGTACAGGGTACTAAATTGTAATTAACCCTTAATTTTAAAAGAACAAGGACAAATACGAAAAACAATAGTCTATTAAAATGCAAATAATTATAAAACAAATGTCCACATCCAACAAAAATTCTCTATTTAGGGTGTATAAAATACAAAATACAAAAAGCCTATTGACATGGGTGTGACCGCAGGTCGAGAGGCTAGTGTTTGTAAACTGAAATGTCTACTCCCGATAATATATTACTGGATAGATGGTATTACTAAATAAATGTTATAGAGCTACAAAGGAGAAATACACATTCATGTTACAAGCCTCGAATGGGACCAAATAAATTTGTATTTGCTTCCATCTCAGTATCTTACCCTCTGTATTAATTCTGGTTCTACAGAAATTCAGCTATTATTGAGCTTATATGTACCCCTCGAATCATTGAGCATTGAAAAAAAGAACCGTCCTAAACTTAAAACCGGAACCTTGGCGCTTCTTATGTATCTAGAGCTCTGTTATGTCGATGTCACCTACGATCTTAGGGTCTTCGTGAATATCTCCACAAGCTAAGAGCCAAA